TAGGCCAATTGCTAGAGCTGTACTATTCTCACCAATCTTCTGAGTCCTGAACTACATTTAGGTTTCTGTAAGGCCTAGCGTGTTATTTTTCAGCAAAGCCTAGTGTTCAGTGATTCCTGTTCTTTTCTTCTACAAGATCTAGCTCTGTAAATACTCTTCTCTTCCTTATTTTTCTATGTATCCTTCAGATGAACTTCCAGTATTTAAGGTAATCCAAGCATTTCTCACATTCCTAAATACCTAATAAATAGAGATTGGAAATCATTTTAAGGAACATGAAGTTTAAACTAATTACTACTAATTAAAAACATATAAAATGTTTCAACTAAGGCAACAAGAGACCATTTACAGAGAATGCAACAGAAAACAAACACACTTCCCAAAATAAATAGGTACTACCCCCTAATAAATTTTTCCACACATTCAAAAAATAAATCTGTTGTTACACAAATGGCTCCAAAAATATAAGTGGATGTTGTGCTCATCAACTCACATTATGTGGCAATTATGGTTGAGGATCTGTAACTTAATAAGAACAAAACTAAAAAGAAAACTATAAGCCCCAAATCAGTAAGATTTTATTCTGAGTAGTTTACACTGAGAAACAGAAATATCACTGTAAAAAATAATATACTGGTAGGAAAAATTAATCATAAAATTCATGTAATGTTCTCAGTACGCTGATCACAGATAGGCAGTAAAACTCAACATTATTAATTAAAACCCTAAAAAAGAGGGGGGAATGGGCATTTATTGAAACCTTAAAATCTGTACCCCCATAATATGCGGAAATAAAATAAAATAAATAAATAAAACCCTAAAAAAGCTAGACATAGATAATTTCTTTTTCTTTTTCCGTTTTTTGAGACAGACTCTTGCTCTGTCACCCCAGGTAGAGTGCAGTGGTATCATCACAGCTCACTGCAACCTCAAACTCCTGGGCTCAAGCACTCCTCCTGCTTCAGTCTCCCAAGCAGCTGGGACTACAGGTGCACGCCAATGCACCTGGCTAATTTTTTTTCTGTTTTGTAGAGATGGGTGTCTCACTCTTGCTCAGGCTGGTTTTGAAATCCTGACCTCAAGCATTCCTCCTGCCTCAGCTTTCCAGAGTGCTAGGATTATAAGTGTATGCCACCACATTTGGTATAATTTCTTTAATATAATTTTTAAACTCCCTTCATCTACCTGTGTCTTATAAATTAGCATTTCCCAAAGTTTTGTCCTCTCCTCATAAAACTCACTAGACAATTTCATCTATACCCATATTTTCAATTACTATCTAAACCTGTTAACATACAAATGAATATCCCAACACTGATATCCACCCCTAGTTCTGTTCAGATACCCAACATCCTACTGGTCATCTCCATTCTGATGTCTTAAAGGTATTTGAAACTCTACTGTCAGTCAACTCACGCTGCTAATGTCCTCCTCCACAACTTATTACACTACCACTCACCCATTCACCCATACCAATAAAGCCCCCCAAATTTATATAATAACAGCAATGACAACAGCAGCAGCAAAAATATCCAAACAACCTAAATGCCCAAAAGGGATACAATAAAATGCAAAGGTAGAATTTTGATAGTCGCTAGTAATTGAAAATATGGGTATAGATGAAATTGTCTAGTGAGTTTTATGAGGAGAGGAAATGAATTTTAATGCAACTAAGTACAAAAAGCATATAGATATGATTTCAGATTTGACACTGCAACTAACCTTTAAGAAATCACCACTTGTTGAGTTTTGTTGCAGAATCACAATTATCGTAATTATCACAATTATCAGAAAAAGTTAGCCGGACACAGTGGCTCACGCCTGTAATCCTAGCACTCTGGGAAGCGGAGGCGGGCGGATTGCTTGAAGTCAGGAATTCAAAACCAGCCTGAGCAAGAGTGAGACCCCGTCTCTACTATAAATAGAAAGAAATTAATTGGCCAACTAATATATATAGAAAAAATTAGCCAGGCATGGTGGCACATGCCTGTAGTCCCAGCTACTGGGGAGGCTGAGGAAGGAGGATCGCTTGAGCCCAGGAGTTTGAGGTTGCTGTGAGCTAGGCTGACGCCACGGCACTCACTCTAGCCTGGGCAACAAAGTGAGACTCTGTCTCAAAAAAAAAAATTAAAATGTCATTTATATTAACCTATAATTGGTTTATTAGTTACTCCAATGAATTAATAAATATATATTATTTTTCTTTTTTGGAGAGAGTGTCTCACTCAGCTACCTGAACTAAAGTACTGTGGTATCATCATAGCTCCTGCGATCTCAAACTCCAAGAGACTAGCCATCCTCCTTCCTCAGCCTCCAGAGTAGTTAGGACTACAGGCACGCCACCAGGCCCGGCTAATTTTTCTATTTTTTGTAGAGATGAAGTCTCACTATATTGCCCAGGCTGGACTCCATCTCTTGGCCCCAAGCAATCCTCCCACCTTGGCCCTCCATAGTGCTGGGATCACAGGTGTAAGCCACCATGTCCAGCCTAAATTAATTTCTAATACAGTAGCTATCAACAGATATAATCCATATAAACAAAAAGCTATTTGGAGTCCTTTATCATTTTTAAGAGTGTAAGGGGATCCTGAGACCAAAAACTTTGAGAACCATTAAAGTAATACTTATACCTTTTAATTTACTTTCTGAGTTTTTATTTCTGTAACTCTTACACATGCTGCCATAAATGTTTAACGGAAGCTGAGAGCATAAGATATAAATCTTGCTTTCTAGTGAGACTGTCTCAAAAAAAAAAAATTTTTTTTTTTTGCTTTCTTCAAATGTATTATAATGCTATCAAGCAAAAGATATTCTCCCCCCCAAAAGAAAAGACAAGATGGCTGGGTTAACAGAATGTTGTATTTGCCAAGATAACTACAGCAGTATAATAAAGCTGTAATACAGAACTTATGCAGAAATACAGCCAAAGAATTTTCACTGAATGATGCACAGAAAAATATGAAAGTTTGGGTTTGAGAAGAACTAAGATAGTTCTTAAGTGAATTCCTTCTCACTTTTATCCAGTTTTTATTTTATTGTAGTTGGTATCTAACTATCATTTAAATGTACCCCTCTCAATAAAGAATATTCAAAGAATTCTATGTGGAACATAAATCTGATAATAAGTCATGAAAAAATACTTAACTATAACTAAAATAATCCATTACCTTGAATTATGCAACACTGGTCACCATCATTATTAAAATAAATACAATGGGCTCTGCACTATAATGAATTACCAAGCTAAAAAAGGCCATCCAGCTAAGGGAGTTAATGGTATTCATTAATTAGGTTCCTTTTTTAGTTCTTACATGAAGCATAATTTATCAATTTAAATGCCAGCACAAAACCTTGTATGGGGCAGATGTTAAAAAAATTACTTGTTCCTATAATACTGATTGAGCAAGGTAAAATGATAGCATATTTTCCTCAGTCAGGAATGATTAAGGTAGGTGCAGAAACTCATAAGCCAGGACAAATTTTGTACCAAGAACTGTGCTTCCAAAGTCAGTGTGACCTAAGGGGCATATTCTGCATTCTGCATAAAAGGGAAAAGTGGCTCTATTACAGGCCTAGTTTCCTCATTTCCTCACATGCTCTAGACCTGAATTCGCAGCTTCCAAATTAAGTACTTTTAAAGCACTTCTCATCCTAATTCCACTAATGTCTAGGTGGTGAGAATTTTTGTTTTTCAAAAAAAAAAAATTACTAATTGCATTGGTATTGGTGCTCTCTGTAAAGCAGAACCTAAAGGCCTCATCAGAAGAGAGAGTGAATATAGCAGAGTTCACTGCAATCTGGATGTTCTCAACTGAAATCCGTGTTTTAATCAGTTTTTTTAAAAAATTAACGTTCAGGTGGGAGGAAAAATCCACCCACATCTTATTTCACTAAGTAGCGCTTTTGTTCTCTGCAAAGGCTATTGAGATATCGTTTTGTAATACTATTTAAATACTATGTGCTGCAATTATTTCCTACTGAAAGAATCCCATTTTCAGTTATCTGTGACTACAGAAAACATGGTTCATAGTACTTCTCAAATCTCAACGCCTAAACTCCGACACCTCCTGCTCCTCCTCCTCTTGCCCGCCGCGTCCCCACCCCCCCACCGCATCGGGTTTTCAGACGCATCTTTTAGGCGGAGGGGGAGGCGCTAATTTTTGGATTTGCTATCCCATTCTGCCTGTGCAAAATAAACCTGTTGTAAAATAACCTCAGGAACAGAGATGAAAATCGAGGACCCAATTCCCTTCTGCTCGCATCTCTCTATCGTTGTAAACTTCCCTACAGCCCTCAATGCGCTCATTTCTACTCCAGAGCAGCCCCACCTGTGCCCAGACCTCAATCTCCAACCCGAATCTCACCGTGACCTTGGGCCCGGGCCACTGCTCCCCTCCCAAGACAACGACCGTAAAACCAAGATCCCCACACCCCGCTCCGCAGACTGCAGAGAGAGGGCTCCGGGTTCAGGCCGGGTCCGCGGGTTGCGGCGGGGGCAGGCGAGCAAACCGCAGGAACCGCAGCTCCGCGACGGCTGGAGAGGCTGGGTCCGGGTCAGCGCCGGGAAGAAAGGACGCCAGGGGCGGGGACAGGGCCCCGGGCTACCTGCGGGGCCGGTGCCGACGCAGCCCCAGGAGCCGCAATGGCTGCACGCCACCCCGGGGCTCTGGAAGCCCTCGCGGCCGCCCCGCGAACTCCGGCCCCGACCCGTCTGCGGTCACGGCCCCGCATTAACTCCGACCGCCCAGCAAGCAGCGGCAGGTGATGCGGCGACTGGGCAGGCGGGCGTGCAGTTGAGCTGCCTACCTCAGGCGACGGCGTCTCGGAGCCGCCTACCTCCCGCCCGGGCTCGAGGAGCCGCGACCAGAGTAGGAAGAGGCGCGCGAGGCAACACGCCACAGAGGGTGGGACAGGAAGAGGGGAAATGGTCCGCACTCAGAGGAGCTGGCAAAAGGAGGTGAGAACGCGGGCGGCGGGGACCGTCAGGGACGCTTGCGTACCTTCCTTTTTGCCTAGCAGAGGGTCCGACTGGAGCCAGCAGATCGCCTCACATCCGGGTATCGGGAGACACTCAGCTGCTTCTGCTGCGCCCGCCGCCTCCCCCGCGGCGCAAACACCAAACTTCCGGCGACGACGGCGACGCCTCGCCCGTCAGATGGGAGTTACCTGTGACCGTCTTGGGTGCGCTTGCGCAGCGCTCCTCTTCAGCCCTAACCGGCTCAGCTGACGTGCCCAGAAGACGAAGATGGCCGCCACGCTCGCTGCGTGTCACGCAATTTTTCACCCCGGCCCGGACGGCTGGGCGTCGGGGAAAGGCGAGCCAGCGTCCATGCTCGGCGCAGGCGCGGTGGGAGGCCTCGCGTGCGCGCCTCCGCGGGTGGGCGCCCAGCGGGGAGCCGGCGGCGCCCCCTAGCGGCGGGCGCCTGTCCTCCTTGGGGTCATCTCTCGGAATAAAACCACCCAGGCCCCCAGCAGTGGCGGTTTACCTTGAAAATTTGTCGCGAACGGTTCCCCTGTAGGTTTCGGGTACTTCTCTATGCGGTGTCTAGTCCAAGTGCCTTTAATCCTCTATGTGAGCCGATGTAAGGCGTGAGGGGGATAAACTGATCCTTTTCTCCCTTTCCCCTGCACTGATATCCAACGCCTCTAAAAAATGCAGAGCTTCACCCTCGCCTTGCACGCTTTCCTGCTTGTGCATCAAAGCACAAAAGCTTGTGAGAAACTGTATAGAATGTTCCGCTAGATTTAGTCAGGGCGGGCGTTCAGACAAAGCTTTGGCTCTTCCAAACATCTAAAGATAGAATCCAGGATTCTACCACTAGGATCTGTGGTCCCCCGGCTGCTTTTAACACGCTTTCTGTGCTCTTCCTTGTTTGAAGAACCGTGAGGATGGATAAATGGTACTTGTGCCTTTCAAAATGGGAAGAAGTGATCTAAGTGAATTCTCCCTGCTCCCCTTGTTTGAAGCCAAGTGCAACCAAAATGTGCTCTAGGTTTGTCAAGCCTGACATTTTTCTGACAATTCATTTTGCACAAATCTTTAGTGTCAGTTTGGCCGGGGAGATGTTATATGGCTTACAAACGAAACCAAGAGGTTATTGGTGGGGAGTCGGTTCCCCCGTACGTTGCGTTACTTGGCAAAGACCCGCCCACTACTGCCCCCTCTCCTAGTCCCTGATATATACTTTTGTGTGTTTTTTTGAGACAGAGTCTCACTTTTTTGCCCAGGCTAGGGTGAGTGCCATGGCATCAGTCTGGTTCACAGCAACCTCAAACTCCTGGGCTCAGCGATCCTACTGCCTCAGCCTCCCAAGTATGCCTCGCTAATTTTTTGTATATATATTTTTGGTTGCTCAATTAATTTCTTTCTATTTTTGGTAGAGACAAGGTCTCCCTCACGCTGGTTTCGAACTCTTGACCTGGAGCAATCCGCCCGCCTTCGCCTCCCAGAGTGCTAGGATTACAGGCATGAGCCACCATGCCGGGCCTCCCGATATATACTTTTAATGACATACGCCAAACGCTCAAATTAGGGAAAAACCTAGGAGTAAATTGTCAACCTGGTTAAAACTGACTGTTTACCAGGGGGTGCTGGCCAGTGTTCGCTTTCACCTTTAGATTGTCAGCAACTGGTAGGATTTCTTTTAGTTGGGTAAACGACTTTGTCTTTAGTAATTCAAATTCTGGCATACCCACAAAGAAACCATATTACAGGCCAGGGGCAATGGCTCACGCCTGTAATCCTAGCACTCTGGGAGGCCAAGGCCAGAGGATCACTCAAGGTCAAGAGTTGGAAACCAGCCTGAGCAAGAGAGAGGCCCTTCTCTACTATAAATAGAAAGAAATTAATTGGGCAACTAATATATATAGAAAAAATTAGCTGGGCACGGTGGCATATGCCTGTAGCCCCATCTACTCAGGAGACTGAGGCAGTAGGATGGCTTGAGCCCAAGGAGTTTGAGGTTGCGGTGAGCTAGGCTGACACCACGGCACTCTAGCCTGGGCAACAAAGCAAGACTCTGTCTCAAAAAAACAAAAAAAGAGACCATATTACAAGCCTTCATTCTCACAAAATAAGCCTCTCCTGAGTGAATCTCTATTTGTTGTATTGGCTCGATCAGGAGCATAGGGATCGTCACAAATGTCAACTGTAAGAAATCATATGTTCTTTATTAGTACATAGTATTTTGATGTAAAATTCATGTCTACAATCTATTCTATATTTCGTTTTTAAAACTATATATAGTCCATTTCTTAACCATGCTGTGAATAAATAAAAATACTTTGCGTTAGTGGGAAAAATAAACTTTCTTGAGCATTATTCCTTATCCTTTTCAAGGATATTTTTCACTTACGATTCGTTAAGACCAATAGTCTCAATTTGTAGTCTGGTTAAGTTAGTTACTCTGTAATATCATATTTGTTTTCCCTTCCATCAATAGTTTTCTTTTAGAGCAATCTGTCTATGTGCTTTGGAATTTGGTTCATTTAATGTGATTGTCCACTAAAAAATAATCATGATCAACTCTCTTGACAGAGCTTTCAGTCTTTTCCAGAAAAGAGTAAAGAATGTGGGTTTTACAAATAATAGTCAATGGGAAGTCTAGCATTGAACTGCTGGAGGAGTATAGGTCACAATTGAAAGAAAGAAAAACAAGTTTCAGTTCAAAAGGGATCTGAGACTAGCAAGACATGGTGGCTCACGCCTGTAATCCTAGGACTCTGGGAGGCCAAGGCCTGAGGATCGCTCAAGGTCAGGAGCTCGAAACCAGCCTGAGCAAGAGCAAGACCCTATCTCTCCTAAAATAATAGAAAGAAATTAGCTGGAAAACTGAAAAATATAAATAGAAAAAATTAGCCGGGCATGGTGGCACATGCCTGTAGTCCCAGCTACTCGGGAGGCTGAGACAGAAGGATCCCTTGAGCCCAGGAGTTTGAGGTTGCTGTGAGATAGGCTGACGCCACGGCACTCTAGCCTGGGCAACAGAGTGAGACTCTGTCTCAGAAAAAGAAAAAAAGACTCATCTGGGGAAACTTTTTTCTTTTTTTAACGTTTTTTATTATTTTTTCAAATTCTATTTGTCACCTGGGGAAACTTTAAAATGAAAATTCTGGGCCGGGCGTGGTGGCTCACGCCTGTAATCCTAGCACTCTGGGAGGCCAAGGCGGGCGGATTGCTGGAGGTCAGGAGTTCAAAACCAGCCTGAGCGAGACCCCGTCTCTACTATAAATAGAAAGAAATTAATTGGCCAACTGATATATATATAAAAAATTACCCGGGCATGGTGGCGCATGCCTGTAGTCCCAGCTACTCGGGAGGCTGAGGCAGAAGGATCACTCAAGGCCAGGAGTCTGAGGTTGCTGTGAGCTAGGCTGACGCCACAGCACTCACTCTAGCCTGGACAACAAAGCGAGACTCTGTAAAAAAAAAAAAAAAAAAAAAAATTACTGAAATCAAGCTTAAACTAATACAAGCAACAGTTTTTAAAAAGGACTTTATGCTACCATAACTGGGAGCTGTAGGGGAGCAGCTGACCTCAGGCCATCCTGAAATCTGAGGCTCAGATGATGTCAGCAGGACACTCTACAATGCTCAGCTATTCTTTCATCTGTATTAGCTTCATTCTTAAATATGCTCTCCCAACAACTCAGCAAAGATTATGTAAGCTCACAGCAAACTAATTCCAGTAAAAACAGAGGCCTTGTTCCTGAGAGCTCCTAAGAAAGTCCTGGGGAGGAAAGCTCTGATTCATTCAGCTTTGCCATGTGCCCATGCCAGAAACAAATGCTATTACTCAGATGACACATCTTGGTTCTCAACATTATGGTTCTATAAATGGTGAAGGTCTTTATCATACCTCCTACAGCAAGAATTGCAAGACCCTACTCTATGGTCTTTTGCTAAACTCAAAACTGTGACTATAATCTCCTGGACTTGTTTAAATTGCTTGTTTTCCTTACTGACTCCAAACTGCAGAAAGTACTTTTCTGCACTGGCTTATCTACTTCTAAAAACTGGAAGAGGACATCTACTTCTAAAAACTGATAGCAGAATAGTTGCATTGTCCCACATAGTACATTCTCATTTCCTTGTTCCTTTTCTTTCTTATGACCAATCTAAATGCCTGCAACATGTGAAACCATCTCTGCTAAATCACAAAGAACAAGACAATCTCACTTTCAAACTAATCCTTCTGCTAGCAGCAAATAAAGGCCTTTATTTTGTTGCTCCACTCTTGTTTACTTTATTGCAGGACTCTTGACAGTTTTAAACTGAGAAAGTAAAAATCCTAAAAAATTTCAAGCTAGAAAACAAAGACAAAGAAAAATTATAGAAATTTTATATAAAGCAACTGACAATGATATTTCAATTTGCCATCTGGGAGACTCCACACACAAGTAATAATGCTGGCCCCACATACCTGAGAGGGGATGAGTAGGTGTTAGCCAGATTAAAGAAGTGCATGTACAGAAGGCTGGATAGGAAAGTGAACTTGGTGAGTTGCAAGAAGTCAAATATCCCTATATTATTGAGGGGGAAAGGGATGGATTAAGAAGTAGGCAGGGCCGGGCGCGGTGGCTCATGCCTGTAATCCTAGCAATCTGGTAGGCCGAGGCGGGAGGATTGCTCGAGGTCAGGAGTTAAAAACCAGCCTGAGCAAGAGCGAGACCCTGTCTCTACTAAAAATAGAAATAAATTAATTGGTCAACTAATATATATAGAAAAAATTAGCTGGGCATGGTGGCGCATGCCTGTAGTCCCAGCTACTTGGGAGACTGAGGGAGGAGGATCGCTTGAGCCCAGGAGATTGAGGTTGCTGTGAGCTAGGCTGATGCCACGGCACTCACTCTAGCCTGGGCAACAAAGTGAGACTCTGTCTCAAAATAAATAAATAAATAAATAAAGCAGCACTATCCAATCAAACTTTCCATATGATAAGAATATTCTATATCTGCATTATTCAAAAGGGTAGCCAAAGTCACATATGAGTACTTGAAATGTGGTTATTGCAACCAAGGAACTGAATTTTTTATTTTATTTAATGATAATATTTTTTTTTTTTTGAGACAGAGTCCTCGTTTGCTGCCAGGCTAGAGTGAGTGCCCTGGCGTCAGCCTAGCTCACAGCAACCTCAAACTCCTGGGCTCAAGCGATCCTAGTGCCTCAACCTCCGAGTAGCTGAGACTACAGGCATGCGTCACCATGCCTGGCTAATTTTTTCTATATATATTAGTTGGCCAATTAATTTCTATTTTTAGTAGAGACGGGGTCTCGCTCAGGCTGGTTTTGAACTCCTGACCTCCAGCAATCCGCCCGCCTTGGCCTCCCAGAGTGCTAGGATTACAGGCGTGAGCCACCACGCCCGGCCCAGAATTTTCATTTTAAAGTTTCCCCAGGTGACAAATAGAATTTGAAAAAATAATAAAAAACGTTAAAAAAAGAAAAAAGTTTCCCCAGATGAGTCTTTTTTTCTTTTTCTGAGACAGAGTCTCACTCTGTTGCCCAGGCTAGAGTGCCGTGGCGTCAGCCTATCTCACAGCAACCTCAAACTCCTGGGCTCAAGGGATCCTTCTGTCTCAGCCTCCCGAGTAGCTGGGACTACAGGCATGTGCCACCATGCCCGGCTAATTTTTTCTATTTATATTTTTCAGTTTTCCAGCTAATTTCTTTCTATTATTTTAGGAGAGATGGGCTCTTGCTCTTGCTCAAGCTGGTTTTGAACTCCTGACCTTGAGAGATCCTCTGGCCTTGGCCTCCCAGAGTTTTTGGATTACAGGCGTGAGCCACCATGCGGGCCTCCCAGATGAGTCTTATGCACATTAAACTTTGATGAGTATTACCTTACGACATCCATCCAACAGTTCTAGTGATTAGAGATGAAGCCTACACAGGAGATGGAACTTAAAGCCATGTTTTGGGAGGAGATTTCCCAGGCTAAAGGAAAAAGTATCCATAAAGAGATTACAACCAAAAACCCCAAAACACTGCAACATGTCTTGGTTCTATAGAGAAGGATGAGCCTGCAGGGAGACCCAGAAAGAGTGATTAGTGGGATAGAAAGAAAGCCAGGTGTGCTTGGCATCCTGGAAGCCAAGAGAGACAGTGTTTCAAAAGGGGAGTGTAAAATACAGAGCTTTTAAAGGAAAAAAGAAAAGAAAATAGAAATTAAAAGTAATATAAATTTAAAAAAAAAGAAAATGTAAATAATTTATAAAAAAGGGGGAATGTAGTGTTAAATTTTGCTGAGATGTTCAGTAAGATGAAAATAGAGAAGTTTATCTTGGAGATCAGAAGTTAAGTAAAAATAATCAGCTAAATTGTGTGATTTTTCTTCAGGCATATTGAGTAATGCTAAGGCTCTTGGTTTTGGGACAGAATTAGCATAATCCTTTAGGTTTCTCTCAGAACTTTTCTTTGTTCATTGAGGAAGTTAGCTATATTTGGTGTTTCATCACGCACTGTGCCCTGCTGTGCGGAAGCACAATGGCGACCGTACTGCTAATCGGATTTAGCCTCTTCAAATCTCCCTCTTGCAGGAAATTTCCTCCTAGACCAGCCCTCGACGTTCTCCGCAGGCGCAAAGCAACCTCCGGCCGCCAGGGGCCGCAGTCGCGCTCTTTGCGGCCGGAAGGGAGCGCGGTTCAACGCGGCCTCGGCGCTTCCGCCGTGCGTCTGCAGCGCTCCGCGCGCTCTTTCCGTCCGGAGCCCCTGCAATAGGCGTTTCCGGCCATTCATACTTCCAGTCGGGCAGTCCCCGGTTGTTGGATTCCGTTCGGTATCGGACCCGAAGGGTGACGGCGCCGCTAGGATGAAGCTTGTGAGGTGAGGAGGTGACCGTGCGGGATGATGTCTGTGAAGGGAGCGTTTGGACCGAGTCGGTCGAGTGGGCTGCCTCAGTTGCAGGAGGCGGGAAAGCCGCGTGCGCGGCCTGCTAACGGCCTCAGGCGCCCGCCGCTTCTGCCCCCATCTTGGCCGCGCCGCGGGTGCTCGAAGCTGGGCTTCAGATTGGGTCGCGCGGGGATCCCGCGTGTCTTCCAAGAGATGAATGTAGGGACCGAGCCGTTTCTTCCCACCTAGTGGCTTAGAGGCCTTAAAAGTGCAGCGCATGGGACGCAGCTCCCTCTTTCGGTTAGTTACCGGTTTTCATTTTGAGCGGAACTGTGGTCAGCACTTAGGAGCTTCATGAATTTATGTGGAAATAATGAAACCGTTTGCAAAATGAGAGAGGGACTTTGGCTTCAAAAAAGTTCATTTTTTTGATACTCCCTAGATTTAGGATTGATTATTCGACCTACATTTCCCGTTAAGGTGGGCTTTTGATTAGGGAAATCTCCCAATATGGGTCAGAAGTCATCATTTTCCGTAATTGTGGCTGATTATAGGTATATAGATAATAGATATTTTTCCTGTTTATTATTTCTGCCGATTAGTTGAGCCTACTGAAGACTTGTTTACTGATTTGAATAATCCTAAACTACCTAGAAAGAGATTTGGTTTTGGTGTTTTTCCTTGAGGTTGAGCCTGGAACATAGGAGCAGAGGTTTCTAATAACTAAGCCAGCAATTATAAATATTTAGGTGGTTTCTTTCCTGTTGAGTCAAGGATTGTCAATGTAAACCAGTTATTGGTGCGTTGGTAATAGAATTTTTTAAAAGGCAAAGTCTCTGCCTGGTCGGAGCTTTTCTGTTTAGTGGTGAAGACAGACTAGTAGATAACTTCTGATATGTTTGAAATAATATATAAAACTCTCAATATTATATTAAGGTTCAGGCTCTTTTTTTAACCTTTTTTTAATTTAAAATTTTATCTTCATTTAGCTTAGTGCTACTTGTCACTGACTTGAATCACCCTTGGTTTTTTATTTCCCCTTTTGAAGTATATATTTTATACAATGAAGTAGATTGTATATTTCCCTCTATAGAAAAATTTAAACACCTATGTAACCCAAATCCCTGTCAAAATATATAGCATTAGAAGTTTCCTCAAGCCCTTCCCAGGCAACCTCTGGCTCCATACCTCCAAAGGCAACCGACTTCTTCCACCATAGATTAGTTTTGCCTGTACAAGAATTTCATATATTTGGAATCATGCAGTGTGTACTCTTCGTGTAAATTTCTTTTACTCAACATGCTTTTGAGATTCACCTACATTGTGGTGTGTGTCAGTAATTTGTTCCTTTTTATTACTGAATGGTAGTATATTTAAAAGTTATGTGTTTTGTTTAAAACTACTTTGAACATTGTACAGGTCTTTTGTGGACATAAGCTTTCATTTCTCTTGGATAAATATTTAGAGTGGAGTTGGTGGACCATAGTATAGATATGTGCTTAGCTTCATAAGAAACTGCCAGACCATTTTCCAAAGTAGTGTCATTTTACATTCTCACTAACAATATATTAGAATTGCAATTGTGTTGCTCCACATCCTTACCAACATTTGTCGTTTAGCCAGTCTTTAATTTTGGTCATTTTAATGGATGTGTAGTGATACCGTTATCTAGTCAGGGTTTTGTGATTTTTTTTTTTTTAAGAGATGAAGTCTCTGTAGCCCAGGCTGGAGTTGCAGTGGCACAGTGATAGCTCACAGTAGCCTCTTGAGTAGACTATGAGTGATGGTGTTGAGTACTTTTCACCTGCTTATTGACCATGCATGTATATTCTTTTTTTTTTTTTCAGCATATTATGTGGGTACAGATTTTAAGGTTTCAATAAATGCCCTTTCCCCCCTCCCCCCACAAGTCTGAGTTTCCAGCATGACCATCCCCCAGATGGTGCACATCTCACTCATTATGTATGTATATACCCACCCCCCTCCCCCCTGCCCAATACCCTATTACTGTAGTACCTATGTGTCCACTTAGGTGCTACTCAGTTAATACCAGTTTTCTGGAGAATATATCTGGTGCTTGTTTTTCCATTCTTGGGATACTTCACTTAGTAGTATGGGTTCCACCTCTAACCAGGAAAATATAAGATGTGCCATATCACCGTTGTTTCTTAGAGCTGAATAGTACTCCATGGTATACATATACCACATTTTATTAATCCATTCTTGGATTGATGGGCACTTGGGCTGTTTCCACAGCCTTGTGATTATGAATTGTGCTGCTATAAACATTCGAGTGCAGGTGTCTTTTTTGTAGAGTGTCATTGGATCTTTTGGGTAGATGCCCAGTAATGGGATTGCTGGATCAAATGGTAGATTCACTTGTATCACTTTAAGGTATCTCCATATTGCTTTCCACAGAGGTTGAACTAGTTTGCAGTCCCACCAGCAGTGTAGGAGTGTTCCTCTCTTTCTGCATCCAAGCCAGCATCTGTTATCATGTATATTCTTTTGTGAAGTGTCTTTTCAGATTGTTTGCTTACTTTGTGTCTTTTCTTTTTATTATTGAATTGTAGGAATTGTTTCTATATCCTGGATATGAGTTGTCAGATATATTTTCTCCTAGTTTGTGGTTTACTTGTTCATTTCCTTTTGTTTTGTTTTGTTTTGAGACAGAGTCTCACTCTGTTGCCCAGGCTAGAGTGAATGCCATGGTGTCAGCCTAGCTCACAGCAACCTCAAACTCCTGGGCTCAAACAATCCTAGTGCCTCAGCCTCCCAAGTAGCTGGGACTACAGGCATGCACTACCATGCCCGGCTAATTTTTTCTATATATATTGGCCAATTAATTTCTTTCTATTTATAGTAGAGACAGGGTCTTGCTCTTGCTCAGGCTGGTTTCAAACTTCGGACCTTGAGCAATCTGCCCGCCTTGGCCTCCCAGAGTGCTAGGATTATAGGCGTGAGCCACCCCACCCAGCCTGTTCATTTCCTTAATAGTGTCTCTTAATGAGCATAAGTTTATTTTGAGGAAGTCTTTATTTATTTTTTTATGATTCTAGCTCTTTGTTTACTGGTTTTTTTTTTTGTTTTTTTTTTTTTTGAGACAGAGTCTTGCTTTGTTGCCCAGGCTAGAGTGAGTGCCATGGCGTCAGCCTAGCTCACAGCAACCTCAAACTCCTGGGCTCCAGCGATCCTTCTGCCTCAGCCTCCCGAGTAGCTGGGACTACAGGCATGCGCCACCATGCCCAGCTAATTTTTTACATATATATATCAGTTGGCCAATTAATTTCTTTCTATTTATAGTAGAGACGGGGTCTCGCTCTTGCTCAGGCTGGTTTTGAACTCCTGACCTTGAGCAATCCGCCCGCCTCGGCCTCCCAAGAGCTAGGATTACAGGCGTGAGCCACCGGGCCCGGCCATGTTTACTGGTTTTGTTGTTGTTTTGTTTTTTGAGACAGTCTCACTCTGTTGCCCTGACTAGAGTGCCGTGATCAGTGTAGCTAGCAGCAACCTCAAACTCCTGGGCTCAAGCAGTCCTTCTGCCTAAACTTCCCAGAGTGCTAGGATTACAGGTGTGAGCCACCATGCCGGGCCTGTTGACTGTTAAAGAAACCTTGGGAGGGGGGGCATGGGCAATATAGGTAACCTTAACATTTGTACCACCATAATATGCTGAAATTAAAAAAAAGGAAAGAAAGAAGCCTTAGTCTACCTTCAAACCATGAAGATATCTCCTATGTTTTCTTCTAAATGCTTCATAATTTTAACTTTTATGTTTTGGTCCATGATCTAACTTGAATTAATTTTGGGAAATGGTGTGAGTTAGTGGTCCAGGTTCATTTTTTTGTGTATGGATTTCCAGTTATTCCAGCATCATTTGTTGAAAAGGCTTTCCTTTGCCTATTGGACTTCTTTGGCTCTTTTGCAGAAAATCAACCATATAAATGTTTGTCTGTTTTTGGTGCTCGGCATTCTGTTTCATTGATCTATTTGTTCCTTATATCTTGGTTATTGTAGCTTTACCTTGTGTGTATGTTTCTCTAGCCACATAATTTGTCTTTCTAGAGTTTGTATTTTTGTCTCTTGTCTCTAAAATCTTTCTGAACATCTGCTCTAGGTTCTCAAAATATGACTGTGTCCCTGGCACACCACTTCATTGATGAAAACACTTTGGTAGCTCTCTTAGGAGAATTCTTGAACAAAGTGTAGGGCTTTCCCATGAAAGGAACCTGCATAACACTTCCCTACTCACATTTTTTAGCTTAATATTACATCAGTAGTACCTGTAATTACTCTGTACCTTTTGCTATTTCTTACCACTGTGTCTTGTCTTTTGCTTCTTTTTGCTGCATATTTCCAACTTTTCAGACTTATTAAAAAGTCCACTAATATCTGATTTGCTTCTCCCCATTCTACATTATATTACTAGGAAAAACCTGTGTGTATCTCTCTAAAAATATTTAGTTATTTTTACATACATTTTTATGTATCTGAGCTTCCTACTAGACTTTGAGCTCTTTGCAATCTTAGTCTTATTCATATTTAATACTCATTACCAAGACAAGGACTACCACATACTAGCTAATGATGAATATTATTTATCAAAGAAATATCCTTAGACTTCCTGGAATGTATTTTGACTATTTAGAGGCCTCTTTGGTTCATTTCTGGTTTTCCTAATACTTCCATAGGGCAGATTAGCTGATTACTAAAGTATTTCATTTTTACTTTAATCCTGCCTGCTTCTAAAAATGATTTGTAGAACCTTTATAGTAAAAGTTATTACTGACTGGGACAATCACAATAAAAGATAAAAAGAAAAACTTAATGATGGAAGAAAACCATTAATTCAGAATTCTAGGCATATATAGTTATAACTGATAAATTTAGAGCTGAATTAGATAATTCTTATCTGGTGAAGTAAAGCAATACTGACTGGTTGAAAGAAATTTTTTCTTGACATCATATATGAAAGGAAATTCACGACATGAATCCTTTTAAAGTCTCGGGCTAATTCTAGCATACCCCAAGTAATTTCCTCTTTTGTGATGGCTGTCTGTACCACTAAAAAAAAGTGATGTTTTAAGGTTGGCTTTCCTTTAATTGTTGAAACATTTCAGTCAACATTGTGCAGTAATTCAGGATTAAAGGTAGAGGTCATCCATAGTTCATACCTATAATCTTAGCACTTTGGGAGGCTAAGGCAGAAGGATCACTTGATGCCAGGAGTTCAAAACCAGCCTGGACAATAGGGAGACTCTGTCTCTACAAAAAAATTTTTTAAAAATTAACCAGGCTTGGTGGTATACACCTGTGATCTCAGCTACTCAGGACACTGAGACTGGAGGATCACTTGAGCCCAGGAGTTGGAGGCTGCAGTGAGCTATGATGATGCCACTGTTGTACTCTAGCCTGGGGTAACAGAATGAGACCCTGCCTCAAAAAAAAAAAAAAAAAAAATTTATATAGAGATCATGATCCTTACCCTCAACAATAGTAGGAGAGAAAAATAATCCTACATGTACCATTTTGTGTAATAGATAATGGAATCTATAAAGTATATATTACAGATTAGAAATTTTGGTATGAACTGCATTTTAGGTGATATTGTTGGATTATTTGTTGCTTAGATGTGATTGTGAGGTTATGGTTATGTAGGAGAATGTTCTCATTAGAAAATGCATGCTGGCTGGTCCAGGTGCAGTGGTGTTTACTATGGATCACAACCAGTTACACATTCCTTTGTTCCTTCTCTCCTACTGCTTCACTTGACTAGCCTTAAAAAAAAAAAAAAAGAATGCTTGTTAAATGTCATAATGCTTGCAACTTACTTTCAGATGGTATGATGAAAGTGTAAGAAAGTATCAAAGGAGTGGCAGGGAGACAACTGGCAACATTTTCATAATTTGTAAACCCTTCAACTTTTCTTCCATTTCTTCCCTGGCAATATTTCATAATAAAAAAATAGGGAAGAACAAAAATGTAAAAGAAGTGAGGAGGGAATGGATTGTTCATTATACATTATTGTGGCAACTGTATCCAGTTAGGGAAAATGATAAGGCAGATTTGTGCCTTAGACTGCACAGAAAAAAAATGCATTCCAGGTAGACTAAAACTCTATACAACTAGAAGAAAATAAGAGGCTGTTTTTACAAATTGGCATGGGAAACATTTTTTTAGACAAATTATATACCCCAGAAGGATTAATGAATTTAAAACATAAAGATGAAAAAGTTTGTATGATTAAAGAAACTACAAACTTGAGTGATTGGCACACTGGTAGAAAATAAAAAGAAAAACTCAACCTTAATGATAATGTGTGAATAATGTAAATAGGTAAGTCATAGAAGAAATATAAATTTCCCATATTCATGAAAAGATATTTAGTCTCACAAGTAACTAAGGAAATGCACATTGCCCTTTTTTCTATGAAATTAACAAAAATTTGAAAGCTTGATAATAGCTAGAATTTGTGAGGCTTTGCAGTAGCAAAAATTAAAAACTAATGTCAGTCAATGGGATAATAAATTATGACATTTCTGTACAGTGTAATACTATCCACATCTTAGAAGGAATGATTTTTTTTTTTTTTTTTTTTTGAGACAGAGTCTCACTTTGTTGCCCAGGCTAGAGTGAGTGCCATGGCATCAGCCTAGCTCACAGCATCCTCAAACTCCTGGGCTCAAGTGATCCTCCTGCCTCAGCCTCCTGAGTAGCTGGGACTACAGGCATGCGCCACTATGCCCGGCTAATTTTTTCTATATATATTAGTTGGCCAATTTTTTCTATTTATAGTAGAGATGGGATCTTGCTCTTGCTCAGGCTGGTTTTGAACTCCTGACCTCGAGCAATCCGCCCACCTCAGCCTCCCAGAATGCTAGGATTACAGGCGTGAGCCACCGCGCCCGGCTGAAGGAATGATATTGACATGGCAATATCTCCAATATAAACTTGTAAATGAGAACTACAAATTATAGAAGTTATTAAAGTATGGCCCAATTTATATAAAAACAAATCTTACATGTATGCTTGTGAATGCATAAAAAATGATCTAGAAGAATATTCCCAGACATGTAAAGGTTTAGAAAGGAAGATTTTTACTTTATTAATACACATTTAATGACCATGTAGTCTTTCGCTACTAAGTGTAAATCTTGATTTCTTTTTCATGACTGATAATAATCCTAGGATCTTATGTGTCTGGTGTTGAGGTTAAGCTACATAATGGTTTAGAAAATCAAAAATGTCCAGGTCGGGCACGATGGCTCACACCTGTAATTCTAGCACTTTGGGAGGCCAAGGCAGGAGGATAACTTAAGGCCAAGAGTTTAAGACCAGCTTGGGCTATTTAGTGAGACCCCTGTCTCTACAAAAAATTTTTTTTAAACTGGCAAGTTATGGTGGTGTGCACTTATACTCTTAGCTACTTGGAAGGCTGAGGAAGGAGGGTCGCTTGAGCCCAGAAATTCAAGGTTACAGTGAGCTGTGATTATGCCACTGCCTTCCAGCCTGGGTGATAGAGTGAGACCCTGTCTCTTTTTTTTTTTTTTTTTTTTTTTTTTTTGAGACAGAGTCTCACTTTGTTGCCCAGGCTAGAGTGAGTGCTGTGGCCTCAGCCTAGCTCACAGCAACCTCAAACTCCTGGGCTGAAGCAATCCTGCTGCCTCGGCCTTCAAGTAGCTGGGACTACAGGCATGCGCCACAATGCCCGGCTAATTTTTCTATATATATTAGTTGGCCAATTAATTTCTTTCTATTTATAGTAGAGACGGGTCTCACTCTTGCTCAGGCTGGTCTGGAACTCCTGACCTGGAGCAATCCGCCGCCCTCGGCCTCCCAGAGTGCTAGGATTACAGGCGTGAGCCACCGCGCCCAGCCGAGACCCTGTCTCTTAAAAAATAAAAAGTTCAAATGACAGTTTGTTAATGTTATTATGTTCCTTCATAAATATTGAGGGAAAGCTAAAATTATGCAAAATGTTAAAGGTAAAAATTCATAGTTTTATTCCTTTTTGTAGATTTTTGATGAAATTGAGTCATGAAACTGTAACCATTGAATTGAAGAATGGAACACAGGTCCATGGAACGATCACAGGTATGGAGGTTGAACTTCTTTTATAACACTTTTTTGGTTTTTTTAAATTCTCTTCCACCTGTAAACCAAAATATTTTTTGATTGCTTAATGAATATTATCGTAGTATGGATCCTGATTTTTATCAGAATTATTTAATTGATCTTATGTAAGCCTCACCTTAAATATCTGTGCTACAACCAAACTGAATTCCCCAGGTTATCCTGTTTTCCAGCTTTTATGCCTTTGCTTGTGTGTGTTCCTCTGCCTGGAATGTTGTTTCTTCTAAAATACATTTGAAACTTTTTTATGTTTCCTGTTAGATTGAGGTTAGATGGTAGAATTTTCATTTCTGATTATCTTACGTAAAAAATATATGGGAAAGGGAGGGGTGGTTCAGGGAACCACAATTTTAACTCACTAAGGCAATCCTTATTTTGTTTTTTATCATAGCTTTTTTTTCTTCTTGATTAACTGCTGGGGATTGGTTTCATTTTTGTTTGTTTTGGTTTTTTATGGCAATCACTGTTAACATAACGTTTGGAGTATTTTCTTTTTTTTTTTTGAGACAGTGTTTGTTCTGTTGCCCGGGCTACAGTGTCGTGGCTTCAGCATGGCTCACAGCAACCTCAGACTCCTGGGCTCTTTATGTTTAAATCTTTACTTTGATGATATTGTATATTTAATATTTAAAGTCCACTGCTATTTCTTTACAAGTAGATATTACCAAAGATTGCAACATTTCAAAAGAATTGATGAGCCAAATGAAAAAAAAAATGCTATCTTAGCATATGTTCCCACTGTGAAATATTTAACTTTTTAAGATGTAGATCTGATATCTATAAACGAAGAGAAATGTAAAATATTAAACTGATTATTTGTGGGTGTGCTAGCACTTTGCAATACCAGTTGCTGTGGAAGGAAATCTGTACAGTATAAGGTCATGCATGATATAGTCTATGACTGTATCTGAGGAAGTATAATTGCTGTCCTGTTAAAAATTCTATAAACAGCGATTTAGTTTGCTCTCTCCAGAGCACTGTTAGATGTGTGGAGGAGCCAGAGTATTGTTCTTGACTTTTAGGAACTCAAAGTCTAGTGATAGAAGACACAAACACAAATAATGTAAGCCATGGTTTGCCTAACATATAGTAAGCACTTAATAAATGGATGTCCCAGGGGAAAAGTTGGTAGTAAATGGAGGGAGCAAAATCTAGTGAAAATCCAATTCCCTTCTGTGGCAATAGAAAAACTCAGACTGTTTCCTGTGCTCTCAAAATGCCACCACCAGCAACCAACACAGAAGGCTTCTATGACAGAACATGTGGGTGGTTCTCCCCACCACCAAGCAAGCCATCAGTTCTTTTTGAGACAGTCTCACTCTGTCAATCCCGGTAGAGTGCAGTAGTGTCATTATAGCTCATTGCAACCTCAAATTCTTGGGCTCAAGTGATCCTCCCAAGTGGCTGGGACTACAGGCCCACACCACATGCCAGGCTAATTTTTTCTATTTTTAGTAGAGAGGGTCTCTCAGTCTACTCTCAAATGGCTGAGCTCAAGCAATCTCCCACCTTGGCCTTCCAGAGTGCTAGGATTACAGGTGTGGGCCACTGCGCCCGCCATGCCAGGCCATCAGTTCTACTGTGAACACTAACTGGGTGTCTTCCAATTCAATTCTGGCACTATCCACCTGGAGACAGCATCAGATCCCACAGGTTAAAGGCTCAGTCCCCAGGATACATAACACACACACACCAGTTGCAGTTCTGGGCCTCTTACTTTCTGACTCACTGGTTTCAAGTTTGGATTCCCACCCTCTTTGGGTTCGATGAATTTACTAGAGTGGTTTATAGAACTCAGGGATGTTTACTGGCTTATTATAAAGGATGTTACAAAGGATACAGATGAAAAGATGCATAAGACAAGGTATGTGGGAAAGGGTGAGGAGCTTGCATGCCCTCCCAGGGCACACCATACTCCAGGAATCTCCGTGTGTTCAGCTGACCAGAAGCTCTTTGAACCCCATCCTCTTGGCATTTTATGAAGACTTCATTGGATAGGGATGATTGATAAGCATGTAGAAATGTGATTGGACCAATAGGGTCCAATACTAATACTAATAGACTGAGGAAACCCAGCAAGGCCTATCTGTTCAGATTCTTCTTGGCTTCTCTGTGCAGCATTCCTTTCTCCAGCGTATGAAGAGGGACCCCTTCTGAATTTGAGAATCTTATGACCCACAATCAGAAAGGTGGGAGATCAGAGTCCTACCTTGGGCTGGTGAAAAGAGAATAGGGAAAGATCAGAGAGTGATTCTGTTTTCTGAGGCCTAAAGTGTCCCAACATTATAACAAAGACTGGGAGTTAGGAGCCAGGAACTGTGAATGAAAACCAATCAATGTAAATAAATAAATATATATATATATATATATATCATAATATCACACCTCCCTGCTGACAATCACTATTGCAAGTTTCTCACTTCTTCTGTGAATATATATTATACAAATATGTGAATACATATTCTTTTAGTATTCACAGTGAGGATAATTATACTGTCTACCATAGGGATATTGAGGATTAAATTAAAATGACTTAACATCGATGTTCCTAGAACAGAGAATGTTCATAAATCTTCCCTCTCCCTGCGTGGATCAAGGTCCCCAAGGAGATGGAATGTTTCAAGAGCATGTTCATTTTAGGAAAGAACTCTTTCTCTAACTGGGAGGAAGGAGGAAAGGATTAATAATCTGGAAAAATTTGAGATGGATTTTGGGAAAGTTGAGAGAATTCATGTTTTCTGGCCTTAACTTTCAAACAAAAGAAATTAAGTAGATCTTTAGTTATTCCATTTGTTTAGGTATAATTTGGTAAAGGCTTCAGTAATCAGGTGTTTCTACTATAATGCCTTATATTCATCCTGAAAAACCTCTGCTTTGTATTTTGTAAAATCTAATACTAAAAATAATATCTTAATGGGAAAAGCAGGTTGTGGCAGACCACTCAAAACCTGTGCAACTTTGAAATCAAAGTAGTAATGAAAACAGTAACAAAAATATAAAGCATAATTAAGAAGACATCTTTAATTCTTTACAATAAGGAAAAATACTGCAGTACATATAGGGGCTTTACTATAAGAGCAAAGGTGAGGATAACTTGCTGGAATGGGGGATGTGAGGAAGTTACAGAGACAGTGGGAGAACCACACAATACACACTTGCCAAACCAGAGATAGGAGGAAGATACAAGACAGTGGGCATAAAGCCTGTATACCAATCAGGTTCCTCCAAGGCTTCCTGCATTCACTTCTGTAAGCACACAACTATACATCACATTAGTGTATCAGGAAAAATCTGTAGAAAGGAAAGACTGCTGCTGATTTATGCTGACATATTTCCCCCATTTACCAGTTGTATATTTGCTAAATTGTGTCATGGATATTAATTCAGTAGAAAGACAGTACTCTTTTAGGTTGCCTTCCTTATCATGCTAACAGTTGCCCAATTTTTTTTCCTCTTTAGGTGTGGATGTCAGCATGAATACACATCTTAAAGCTGTAAAAATGACCCTGAAGAACAGAGAACCTGTACAGCTAGAAACACTGAGTATTCGAGGAAATAATATTCGATATTTTATTCTACCAGACAGTTTACCTCTGGATACACTACTCGTGGATGTTGAACCTAAAGTGAAATCTAAGAAAAGGGAAGCTGGTAAGTTTGAAAGATTAGAAACATTTTTGCAAATGGTATATTTATACCCTAATCAACCATTCAAAATATAAACATTTGAGAACAACACAGGTTGGTTTGTTTGAAATTTCCTGTAATTGCCATCAGTATATATGGTATGTATTCTAACTCCTGGTGTGGTTATTAAAAAGACTGGTTGCCTGTCTTGTCCAAAGGATTGATTGTTTCCTACCTTATTATGCACAGCGTTGTCATCCACCCTCCTCACTTGGGAAGATTTGGAGATGGACTTTTTATTCCTGATAGTCTGAAATTCCTTAATGACTTGGCATTGGGTACCCCCCCCCTTTTTCCTCCCTCTATTTTGTAATAATTTCTTCCCTTTTGCTTGCTCTATTCTTTCTGGAATCTTAATAATTGGACCTTCTGCTTCTCTAATTCTTATCTTCTCTCTCATTTTTCTGTTTGCCTTTTTCTATTTTCTGAGAAATTTTCTTGACCTCCTTCCAATCTAGCACACAGTTTTCAAAACTCCTTGTTCTCTGATCATTTTTCATAGAATTCTCTTCTTGTTTTATGAGTATAATATTTTTTTTCTTATCACTGGTAGGATATTTTGCTGTTTGAAGTTTTACTCTGTACTTGGAATTGTTTTCTTTGGTTTCTCTTTTTATTTGATATCTTTATTTGGTCTTTTACATTAAAAGCCATACGTAAGTATCTTGAGACCTTTGGCCATCTATTATTATTTAAAAAGGACCCTAAAAAGGGAATTTCTGGGGAGGAAGCTGGACTTACCTAGTGTGGCTGATTGTAAGGCTGTTCAGAAAGGAATTGGTCTCCTCACCGAGGAGACTCAAAATTTCAGGATCTGGAAGTCTTTTTCTGGAGCTGGTTTTCTCATGAAAAGATTCGCCTACCTTGGGAGACATGTCTGACAGCCAGAAGCAGGGCAGGAGAAAAGTTCTGGGTGTTTTGTAGAAGTTCATTTAATATAGTGACTTTGAAATGTTTTTACCTTGCACTCACAAGAAATATACTTTGCGTCACAACCACACATATAGATGAAAGTCTCAGGAAGAATTGGAATTAATATATAAAAATGGGCCTGGTGGCTCACATCCTAGCACTCTGGGAGGCTGAGGCGGGCGGATTGCTCGAGGTCAGGAGTTCAAAACCAGCCTGAGCAAGAGCGAGACCCCGTCTCTACTAAATATAGAAAGAAATTAATTGGCCAACTACTATATATAGAAAAAATTAGCCGGGCATGGTGATGCATGCCTGTAGTCCCAGCTACTCGGGAGGCTGAGGCAGCAGGATCGCTTGAGCCCAGGAGTTTGAGGTTGCTGTGAGCTGGCTGACGCCATGGCACTCACTCTAGCCTGGTCAACAAAGCGAGACTCTGTCTCAAAAAATAAATAAATAAATGAATGAATGAATGGGAAAGTCTGTACATGTTCAATATAGATATAGCCATCCTTCTTCCCCCCTACTCTCCACATATTATAGATCTGTGGTTGGTTGGATCCACAGATACAGAACCCATGTGTATGGCAGCCTTCCTGCTTCAACGATTTTAGGTTTATTCTTTTTTGAGACAGAGTCTTGCTCTGTTGCCCTGGGTAGAGTGCAGTGGTGTCATCATAGCTCACTGCATCCTCAAACTCTTGGGCTTAAGTGATCCTCTTGCCTCAGCCTCCAAAGTAGCTGGGACTACAGGCACACACCACCGTGCCCGGCCAGTTTTTTCTTTTTTTTTTTTTTTTTTGAGACAGAGTCTCACTTTGTTGCCCAGGCTAGAGTGGGTGCCGTGGCGTCAGCCTAGCTCACAACAACCTCAAACTTCTGGGCTCAAGCAATCCTGCTGCCTCAGCCTCCCAAGTAGCTGGGACTACAGGCATGGGCCACCATGCTTGGCTAATTTTTTCTATATATATTAGTTGGCCAATTAGGCTGGTCTCGAACTCCCGAGCTCAAATGATCCCCCGCCTCGGCCTCCCAGAGTGCTAGGATTACAGGCGTGAGCCACCGCGCCCAGCCCTAGATCAAGTGACTTTTAAAGGAATGGATTTTAAGAGAAAAAAACATAGGGCAGAATTACGGAATATAAAGTAAATACAAATGTAAACTGTTTTGCTAATTATTTTATAACCACAACAAATTACTACAGAAAATGACCTGTATAAAACACAATAATGTTTCAAAGATTCAGGTGTTCCCCTTGGCAAGGTTGAAAATTTCAGTCTCTGGTATTTGGAATTTAGGCTGCAGTTCTTGTTTTTGGGTGGATCATAGGTTGTGTGCATAGTCCATACTTTTACCCAGATTTGAACAGAAGAATTGCCACTTGTCCCAAGTAAAAGTAGATGAAGTGTTTGGTTTCATGTGTCACGTAACTATCAATGTCCCTCCTCATTATGCAGAGCCAGGTGAGATTGTACATCTTGTCAAACTCCTCCTTAGATATGGGCTGTATTATCCTTTTCTATGTTATATTAATGTTTCTCCAGTGCCTGAGCAGCACACTCCACAGAGTTCTATTGCATCTCTTCTAACATGTCTGCACTTTTGATTGCTGCCTTTCAGTGGCACACAGTTACTATGGAGAAGGGGCTGGTTGACTGTAAGGGTCTCCTGAGGGAAGTGCTAACACAGCTTAGGTCTATGAGAGCTGGGGTAGCTACCGACCTTGGCACATCTCGAAATGACTTTTAAGGTTCTGAAGACTCACCAGACTGTCATTTGGTGAAATATATTTAAACTTTCTTGGCTTTGAAGTAATTGCTTGGATTCTGTTCAGTAACCAAAAATCTGGCACAAAGTGTTCATGTTCTAGTCTATTGGTAGATCTCTTCCATCTTGTGAGAGGTTCAAGTCATTTGTGATTCATTTTGTGGTGAATTTGAGACATGATAAAAGGAAAAAATATTTTAAAAGTTGACAAATTTCTCACTAAATAAATTTAAATGAAACAAATACAGTAATAAAGAATCTCCCTAGGCCAGCAGTTCTGGTTCTGCATGATAGTGAGTTGGGAGCTGGGGGCAAATCTTAGGTCTCAGATTTGAGGGAAGCTAGTTAAACTTTACTCAAGCTGCTGCTAATGAAGAGCTGTAAAAGGGTGGGGAAGGTGTGTGTGTCAATGCTGTTTGTGCTGGCGAGGTAATATTAGTGCAGGAGAGACTTTAACTTGCTTTATTCTCTTCCCTCAGTTGCAGGAAGAGGCCGAGGTCGAGGCAGAGGAAGAGGACGTGGCCGTGGCAGAGGAAGGGGGGGTCCTAGGCGATAATGTCTGTCAAGATTACTGTTTCAAAGTGATAAGTGAATGGGATATTTTTTGTACAGGTTTTGTTTGTTTATGTCAATTTTTAATAAACATACTTGTGGGACAGAGAGTTGTCTTTTGAGTATTTCAAAGTTCTGGTTGTTTCCTGTATATTCATGAAGTTACCACAGTGAGAGCTAAGAATTTCTGCTAGATCTAAGAACATCATTCTTAGATGATTAGGGTTTAATTTTTTGAACTAAATTTTTTAAGTGAATATAGATAGAATATATGCCCTTTAACTTGTCATACACTGAGTATTCATTTTTATTGTTTTACTCTGAAACCTATCTATAGGTAAAGTAAGAAATGCTTGGTATTTCAGAAACTAAAATGCTTTTGGAATGAGGTCTAAAATTGATTCCCTTTTCTGAGTTTTACTCTCTGGAGACTTAGGTTTTTGGTAAAAGATAATGGTCATCTTCTAAATCAGAGGTCATTGTGGGGTTTTTTTTTGGTTTTTGGTTTTTTTTTTTGAGAAAGAGTCTCACTTTGTTGCCCAGGCTAGAGTGATTGCTGTGGCGTCAGCCTAGCTCACAGCAACCTCAAACTCCTGGGCACAAGCAATTCTACCCAGCCTCCTGAGTAGCTGGGATTACAGGCATGTGCCACCATGCCCGGCTAGTTTTTTCTATATATATTAGTTGGCCAATTAATTTCTATTTATAGTAGAGACTGGTCTCTCTCTTGTTCAGGCTGGTTTCGAACTCCTGACCTCGAGCAATCCTCTGGCCTCTGCCTCCCAGAGTGCTAGGATTACAGTCGTGAGCCACCTCGCCTGGCCCAGAGGTCATTGTTTTTATGGGGTTTTTTTTGTCTTAATAGAGACAGGGTCTCACTTTGTCACCCAGGCTGGAGTGTAGTGGCATGATTATGATCATAGCTCACTGCAGCCTTAAACTCCTGGGCTCAAGTGATCCTCCTTTTTTAGCCTCCCAAGTAGGTGGGATGCCACAGCACTCACTCTAGCCTGGGCAACAAAGTGAGACTCTGTCTCAAAATAAATAAATAAAGATATATATGAGAATGACTGATAAATTCAGGAGAGCAGTTATCTTTGAGGGATGGAAAGAAGGAAGGGAATATAATAGGACACTTCTGAGTTTTTAAGTGGGTAATGTTCAGTTTGTTAAAGTGGGTGATAGGCTGTAAGAAATTGCTGATACGTGATTGGCCTATAAAAACATTTTCCAATGGTTCAGCTTACTATTTCTATACATTTTATATCTAAAATATTACACAATTTTCAAAGCTGTGCTTGAAAATTTGGCTGAAGGACAATGAATAGGGTGAGTCTAAGTACTCTCACCCTACCAACTTTATCCTGGAAAATGACATTGGTAAGTGTAGGCATCAGATATTTGGCATATTTATGCTTGATTAATAAAACTTAAAGGTTGTTAGGAAATTTTCAGAGACCCAGGTATTATTAGCATGTGGTGCAATAATAAATATTAATATTTAACAATTTACAGCATTTGCTGACTTTCATACTGTGGTGATTCAAACTACCAACATGACAAATTTCCTGAAATTTTGACATTTGGCTCTAATACACTGGTAGCCTACACTGTGACTATCTCCCAACCTCCTCCAGTAAACAGAACAAACAAGTTGTTTTCTCTCTGTTCTTAGTTGAATGATAAACAGCTCATTGTTAAGCTGCAGAATTGGAGGTAAGTTTGGCATAGTTGGTTGATGCAGGTCCTGGCAGTGAAGAGCGGTAGGTATGGAAACCAGTAAAAACCTCTGAGTGATTCACAGGGTCTCCTTTTGTAGGCCTTTTTGGCCAATTCTCAACTTTGGACTTTCGTGGACCAAATTGCCTCAAGATTGACTATCTGGGACAGCCTAAATTCTCATCTTAATTCTTATACAGCTTTTTTTTTTTTTTAATAATTGATTAAAAATAATTTCTTTTCTTTTTTTTTTTCACTGTCTCCTGTCTTTTCGGGAATCTACAGCTTAGATTTTACTGGCTCTGCTACCTCTGGCTGCCTGTTTTAGCAACAGAGACAAAAGCTGATACCTTTCATTTAACTTTAAGTTGTTAAGTATACTAAGGTCTGTAATAACATGCCTGTTGAAGCACAAAAAGGCAGAAAGTTTTCCTGTTGATACTTGGAAGTAGTGTTTAAAATATGACTGTTTTTTGTTAAACATTGAGCTTTACAATCCTGAAGAGTGTAGATGAACTTGTCATTCAAGAATAGGTCCTAGGCTGGGCTCGGTGGCTCACTTACTTTATATCTTTTTTTTTTTTTTTGAGACAGAGTCTCACTTTGTTGGCCCAGGCTAGAGTGAGTTGCCGTGGCGTCAGCCTGGCTCACAGACAACCTCAATCTCCTGGCTCAGCGATCCTCTAGCCTCCGAGCTAGCTGGGACTACAGGCATGCGCCACCATGCCGGCCTAATTTTTTTATATATTTTAGTTGGCAATTAGTTTCTTTCTATTTTTGGTAGAGAAGGGTCTCGGCTCAGGCTGGTTTCGAACTCCTGACCTTGAGCCATCCGCCTGCCTCGACCCTCCCAAAGTGCTAGGATTACGGCGTGAGCCACCGCGCCCGGCCTTATATCTTTTTTTTAATATACTATTCTTTTTCTTTCTTTTTTTTATTCTTCCAAATTCATAGAGAATATTAATGTATACTTTTATATCTTAATCTCTGTGTGAGAAGTCTTTCTCCATGCCCGCTATGAGCACCTAACAGGCTTTCCATCTAACATCCACCTACCCTTCTCTCTGGACTCCCAAGCATCTCCAGGGTTGATCTCCCCAAATCCTGCTCCTTCGTGTTTCTGCTCCTAAATCTGGGGGCTGAAAGTCCAGGATCAAAGTGTCAGCAGGCTTGGTTCTTCTGAACTCTCCCTAGCTTGCAGATGGCTTGTCTTCTCTTCCCTAATATAATCCTCCCAGTGATCCGTCCCTCAGCCCTCTCCAAAGTTCTAGGATAGAGGCATGAGCCACTGTGCTAGGCCAAAGTGCTAGATTCTTTATGAGCAAGTTCTTCCTTGGATATCAGAAGAATTAAGTTAGCAAATCCCATAGAGATAACCAATAGATAAATCTAACCCCTGCCAAACGTTAAGGCAATACCCCGTTAGTGTTAGGGTGGAGAGTTAGTGTAGAGCTGGTGTATGCAGGTGTGAGAAAAATTTCTCTTGACAAAGATTAGGATAAAAGGAAGAAGTTATATTTACTTCCAAGCAGGAAAAGGCCCAACGGGAGAGAGAAGAAGAGTACGTTGGTCTACGAAATCGGTGGTTATTCAGAACCTTTTATTTAGAAATGTAAAAAGGGAAGAAAGATGATTTATGTTTGTAGTGAAATTAACAAGGATGTTGTGAACTGTCCTATCTGCTCTTTCTCTTTTTCTTAGCTGTAGACAGATAATAGAATTGGCTGTGTGAAACTATACTATCTGTTCCTTTTCTTTAGCCATAGACTGATAGCGGGAATGGCTGTTAGAGATCTTGTCCTCAAGATTTGATTGTGGGCGGGGTGAGGTGGCTCACGCCTGTAACTCCTATGCACTCTGGGAGGCCAACGGCAGATTGCTGAAGGTCAGGATTCGAAACCAGCCTGAGCAAGAGCGAGACATCTCTACTATAAATAGAAAAATTAATTAGCCAAGTAATAATATACGAAAATTAGCCGACATGGTAGTGCATGCCTGTAGTCCCAGCTACTCGGAGGCAAGGCAAGAGGATTGCTTGAGCCCAGGAGTTTGAGGTTGCTGTGACTAGGCTGATGCCATGGCACTCACTCTAGCCTGGGCAACAAAGTGAGGCTCTGCCTCAAAAAAAAAATGTTAAGGCCTAGTTCCAATTCTCTTGAACTCTTCTCTCATTGAGAAAGATACGCTGCTACCGCTCCAGTCATCCCATCTGTATTCCAGAAGGAGGAGGAAGTTGAAGGGTAAAAGGCGGCAAGCCAGATGAGTCTGTCCCTTTTAATTTGAAAATAATAGCTTTACTAGAAGCCCTCATAAGAGATTTCCATTTACATACCATTGATCAGGACTAGGTGAGAAAGTTCCTGCTAAGTACAAGGTAGGCTGGAAAATAAAGCTTTTACAGCTAGACACATTTCTACCCCCAACAAAACTGGGTTTTGTTGATAAGTGCAGAAAATAGATATTCAGTCAGCAATTAACAGAATCCATTTAACCAGAGTTCTCCAGAATTTCAAATCATCAATTTCCTGGCCATAGTGATCTTTTTTTTTTTTTTTTTTTTTTTGAGACAAAGTCTCACTTTGTTGCCCAGGCTAGGTGAGTGCCGTGGCGTCAGCCTAGCTCACAGCAACCTCAAACTCCTCAGCTCAAGCAATCCTCCTCGCCTTAGCCTGAGTAGGCTGGGACTACAGGCATGCGCACCATGCCTGGCTAATTTTTTCTATATAATTTAATTGGCAATTTAATTCTTTCTATTTATAGTAGAGACGGGTTTCGCTCTTGCTCAGGCTGTTTTGAACTCCTGACCTCCAGCAATCCGCCCACCTCAGCCTCCCAGAGTGCTAGGATTATAGGCCTGAGCCACCACACCTGGCACTGTGTGTGAACTAAAATGCTCACCGCCCCCACGCGCGACTGAATGGACCACCTCGTGGACAATGGAATATTCTAGAGCAAGTTGCCAGCCAGGAGAAGGAGGTCAAACAAGCTCATGCCCACCTCCCTTCTTGAAGACTTCCTTTGTAACCCATTAACAGGCCTAAGGGTATGCAAGACAAACCTGCAGGTCCTCCAATTTATGCAACAAATGGTGGCTTATCTTGGTAAACAGTTTATGTTAAAACTTTCCAAGTCTTTAGACAAAGCTTCATGTCTTTAGCCAATTACAATCTAAAGAATCTTTAAACCACCTATCACCTGTAAGCCCCCCTTCGAGATGGCCCTCCTTTGGCCAAACCAAGTATGCCTCCACATATTGACTGATGGCTTTACCGCGGAACCCTTGTCTCTAAAATGTATAAAAACCAAACTGTAACCCAGCCACATCCAGTCCACCTTGCCCAAGGCCTCTTGGCAGTGGCTCCGGTCATGGGTCCTCAAATTTGGCTCAGAA